ATTGTATTGCAGACAATGCTGAATGCAGTTAGCAAGGTGTGTGGTGAATCTTTCGAGGTCATTATGAATATGGTTGTGGATAGACATCCAAGGTCTTGCAAACTGTTATGAGGTGATATCTTATGAGATATTATTCAGCCACTTCATTCATATCTTTCTCCTTGTATATCATCTGGTAGAACGAGACGTCAATATAAAAGTTCTCTAATACCTTATCTAGCAAATATACTCTGTAACGGACAGGTTGGTAGAGTTAACCTAGTCAATAATTTGTATTCTTAAACATATTTGTAGTTGAAAAGTTGTACAGTTTCAGACCTTTTTTAACATTTCTCTTTTTTGTGTTTGTCAAAGAAACTTGTTGAAATACCTCGTACTAAGAATTCTATATTGTACCAAAAATATAATATTGAATAAAGCTATTAACAATAATGATATCAGAAATTTGACTTTAATCTTTACAGTATGTGGTTCACAACGATTTTCAAGATTTACATGACAATATATAAAACGGTCCGTAGTGATATAAGACGTTTTCTCAAATAAAGCGCTCGCAGGTCCTGGGCCCGAATCTCGGAAGGCGGGATCGTGGTTGCACGCTGCTGTGGAGTCCCACAATAGGACGAAACAACCTTCCAATGGTTCCAGGTTTTTCATTGTGGTCTAGCTTAAATTGACTCATCATATAAACCATTTAAATTATAATCAATGAGTTGAAAGTGTTTACATACATTTTTTTTTCTATTTTTAAAGTGGTTTTCTACTAAATTTATTCATTTTTACTATAGAAATTCAGACAAACAATGCAATGAAGTTTTATTAACAATCAAAAATCCAGTTAAATTTTCATTAAATAGATTATTAAATTATGTATAAAATGTCAGATAACATTGTTTTGTAAAGATCACCATTTTAATTGTATACTTCATTTCGAACAGTCAAGATTATAGATAAATCATTCTTCAATTTAAAAACAGTTTTGATCATGAACTAATAATCATTAAGAAATTATTCATATTCAATGAACAGTAAATGAATATATCTTTCAACTGAGTTTTATACTCCTTAATAGTATACATCGAATATCCTGTAGGAAACTGGATCCAAAAACATTTATGTTTTATGATAAATTCATTCAAAATTACAATAAAGTTAAATAATTTACTGTTTAAATTAATTAAAAATGAATAACCATCAATTTACATTGTTGAATATAATAAAATTCATGATCTCGACTCTTGAAATTACTACAATCTCCACAAAACCCCTTCTGATACTAATCAACATATGCTCACTAGTGACTGGCTTCAAGAGATATATCCTGGAGTTCTAGTGAGAAGCAGTGACCAGTAGAGTTCAACCAGGTCTGTTGTGAGGTAGTAACTCACGGATGACTATGGTGGATGTGTCGCTCAGTTTCGTGGATTAGTTGAAGTTAGACATTAACACCGTTGGATGCCGGATCAGTGGTCTAGTTGGTTAAGCGCCTGGCCCGAGGCTGTTAGGTCCTGGGTTTGAATCTCGAGGGGTGTAGGATTGTGGATGCGCACTACTGAGGAGTACCACAATAGGACGAAACGGTCGTCCAGTGCTTCCAGGTTTCCCATGGTGGTCTAGCTTCAATTGACTCATGATCTCAACTCTTGAAAACTATATCCAACAAATTAATTGTGAATTTCATTTTAATCGAGTAAATTTTTAGTTTATTATAAAAAAAGAGAACATATCTAATGTTTCACATCAATGAAATTAATACCAAATAATTACTTATCATTATTATTGTTATATGAATATTTAAAGCTTTAGTAAATCAAAGATAATTTACGTCTGTACAGTTGTCTATAGGTATGTATGTGTGTCGATGTATTTATTCCGTTTATTTATAATTTTCATTGAAATTAGACCATAATTATACTCAATTATTTTATGAATTAACTGTACTCGCTATTCTATATATATATATATATACTCTCATCATCCCATCAACCGAAATATATGAAACAAGTGAATAGTCTAAATGTTAAACAGAAATGTTTGTATGCTCTATTGTGTTATGTTATTTCTTTCTCCTACCAATAACATTATTATGCTAACAAAATTTCTAATCATTTAATGCTTTTCTAAAATTTATTTTATTATTGGTCTGTAGAGTTGATATATATATATATATATATATTCTATATGTATGTATATTATATTCTAGTCAATTTGAAAGAAAAGAATGTAAAAAGAAAAAGAAAACCACAACACCATCCCAGTGTTGTAAACATGTTTGAACACAATTATAAAAAGATGTAATTATTATCTTAAATACTACTGTCATTATGATTCAAATTAAATGGGAGAATGTATTTTAACCAAAACAAAACGCTTATATAGCATATATATATATATATATATATATATATATATATATATATATATATATATATATATCATATATAATGACCGATGAAAATGATACACCATATTTTCTGTCGGTAAACTTATAAAACTATGACAAATTTGTTTTTGTTTTTTTAGAAAAAAATATTTAGAATTAATGCTAACCACATAAATTTATGAACACATGTTCATTAAATAATTATTTGCCAACATCTTTTTAAATATTCTTTTCTTTTTTTCTCTTTTTTTTTACATTCCCTGTCTCTGATTAAAAAAAATTCTTTACAGATTAGAAAGTAAACTTAAGTCAAGAGATGAGAATGAACTTTACTAACCCTTATTTTATAGGGTATCGTTGTTTTTTTTCTTTTTTTTTAAAATAAAAATATGTTAGTACAGTTATTTATAAATTCAGTTTTTGTAACCAAATATTAATTTTGTGTTGTATAGGAAAGATAGGGAAACGTAAAAAGAAAAAAAAATAAACAAACATAACTATAAAATGTAATTAATCAGTTAGTTAATAAACAGTATTTTATTTCTCCCCCCTTCCCTCATTCAATTTATTTATATTTTGACAGGTGTGAACTAGTAGAATTATTTCTTTATTTTCATCATATTGACAACAACAACAACAACAAAAACGGTGAAAAATTTCATTCTGTTGTGTCATGTGATCTATTCTTGTTCTAATATATACGATATTTAATACTTCTATGTTTAAAAACAAAAAAAAAACAGTAAACAAATCTACTTGAAAATATATGAAAATAAAACAAAAAAAAAAGAACAGCCAAACTTAATGCAATGAATCAGATATTATTAAGGACGAGGAGATATTCTTACTTAATTAAATAAATATATGAATCAGATACAACTAAATCATCAACAATGTGAGGAATTAAATCTTATTTTAATTCTATTGTTTTCCTTTTATAAGAAAGTCATTTATTGTAAGACGTTATATATTTATTTGATGATGTTGATTATCTTCCTGAAGAAGTTCAGATAAGTTAGCTGGACGAAACGTTGGAATTATTTTCAAGTTTAATCGCTGAGATTATTTCAAATATAATCAAACTATTCATTTTAATTTTGACGAATATTTATATAAACATTTATTGTAAGTTATGTATAAATATCAATGAATATACTAAGCGATTGTCATAGAATTTCTGTGAGGACTTGACACATATGACATTGATCAACACCCAGTGATCAATCATCTGTGATTACATCTCAGTCCTACAGGAGGTAAGTTGCGGCCTGGATAGCACAGTGGTAACGTCTATGACTGTGAAATTGGGTGACATGGGATCGAATCCGCCAGGGAGCACCGGTTCCCTCAAGATTACAGGTACACCTTGCTGACGAGTGCCAAGTAGCACGAAACCCGGGTCCAGGGTTTCCACCATCTAATCTCAGAAATTGGTACATATGATAAAAAAAATGAATCAAATAAACGTTAATGATAAAAATTAATGAGTATGTATTACATACTCAAATCAGTCACTTATTTAAAAGGTAATTTCATGATAGACTGATATTACCTGGACAGTAATTGAAAACTAGATTATATTGGATAGCTGTTTTGAACTAGTTAGAAATTCAGTGGTAGTTTAAGTTAATGACATCACATGAAGTTATACTAAAAACCATGTAGTTTCTTATAAATCATAATGTATTTAAACAAATATAACGGAATTCAGTGGTTCATATTTTCACCTTCAATTACTTTACTGTATATTGGATAAAGACTGTGCAATACTGATACTGTTAAGTGTCAAAATATTTAGCTATTGTCGAGTTATATGTAGGCTTAGTAAAATATGAATAATGTGAGGTATAGGATTCATAAAAGCTTTTTACACATGAAATTAGCTTACAATTAAGTGTTTACTTTTACTCAATAATAATCAGTAAATTCACTCGTCACTAAAAAAGATTATGAAGCTCATTTTGTTAATTTATATTGAATTTCCTTGATCGATTATTAGAGCTTTTTGTTGAAATTTGATTTTGTAAATATCTAGCCACTAGGGCTATTTTACTGATACCGTATCAGCGACTACACTAACGGTTAACAAGTCTCGATTTACTTACATCGCTTCTATCCTCTTTATTTCGTCACTTACTATGATGAGACCCTAAAGTCTAGTCAAAGTAGATCGAGTCCTTTAGTCTATTCCATTATTATTTCCTTATCTTTGTTTGTGGCTGCTTAAAAATTCATTGAAATGATATGCACATTGCAGCGGCATGGTGTTATAATCTGCAGACGCCATAACGTAACATATTCTGGTACCGCTAGCATGAGCCCATAAATGGTGACCGTAGATATTCATTATTCTATCATATAAGTGCGAATGGAAACCCAACGCAAGGCTTCAATGAATAGCTGAAATATCTGAAAATGATCCATTTAACTAGATTAAACGCATTATGAACTTATCCAGCATTACTGAAATATTTTCTTTATGAGTATTCATAATTAAAAATTTCAGTGTAAGAATGAGCAATGGCTGTTGCCAATCATTCAGAATAACGGCTAATCAATTCGGGTAAATGACAATGAAAACTACTTCCTGCTAACAACTGCTATAGAGTCTTTTGAACAACTTTAAACAAGTATTCTTGAATGTTTTAAAATTGAAAATGCATTTTGTTACTTTTTATTAATTTTATTTTGGAAAAAAAAAATTAATTATGATCTTGTGATGTGAAAAGAACTTATAAGCATAACGAAATGAAGTATGAATTATAACTGGGTAGGAAATATTTTTGTGGGCATATAAAGAATAAGGCATTTTATAAACAGAATAATTGAACAAACACTACAAAGTATATGAATATTGAAAAAGTTAGAGAAGTAGATGAGTAAGCTATATTAAATAAACATGCACCAGGTAGAATAGCTTGTTGTATTACAATACCTTTAGAATTTTTAGAATTTTCAACAATATATAATGGATTTTCAACAATAGACTCAGTTTCATTAACAATTAACTGAGAATACTGTATAGTACGTGATTTAGGTATAAACATATTGGTTTCATACAAAAACGAAGACGAACGATCGTTGGAGTAGTTTGATCTGAGATATGTTACATTGTTTTGTGAAATGGAATAGATTTTCGGACACTCCGATAACTAAAATATAAATATTTTAAAGAAAAAATTCAAATACAATGAGAAAAATTATTTTCACTTTCTCGTATAGATACATTATGATAAAAGAAAATCTCAATATTTAGTGCAGTAAGATAGTGAAAAAAATTTTCTAACTAAAGAGGATTACTTTAGTGGTGTTCAGTTGCATAAGCTTGATCATATTGCGTATCAATTCTGACACAGAGAGTCAATCACATCTAGCATGTCAACTTAAATATGCATTTCGCCTCCATGCTTGTAGAGCATGGCTTTAAGAAAATCCGGCTACTGGAGTAGAAGCGTAGTAAATGAGGACACAAATGGGAACAATCGAATGTATTTGAATACAAAATTACAGAACATCTTAGTGAAATCTGAGAACCATATAGTAAATACTTCATTTGCAAATTGTTGATCAATTATCTTAAACGTGACTGTTAATTCTGCAAAATGTCAATCGATCGACTTCATTGTTCTTTCGTTTCCACACCGATCATTCTTTGTTCTCGTTCTCTTCCCATCGGTCTTCTTAACTTTCTACAGCCAGACATTGCATTTTTGATTATTGATACATCTTACTTTTATCTGTCGACATCGGTATATATATATATATATATATATATATATATATATATATATATATATATATATATATCGATTAGCGTATTTATAAAAAGATCTAACAAAATGATCAGATGGAATAAATAAATTTAGAAGACCTTAGTCCTTACTTACTGGACATAGTAATCTGCAATCAGGACATACAAGTTTTCCTTTCACAGTAAGACTTTGTTTTGTTAAACAAGCGTTAATTTCACTAAGTTCTCCTGGTACTTCACAAGGAATCGACATACCTCCAGCAAGTTCTAAAATCAAACCACCTTCAGTCATTGAACATCGGAACTGAAATTTTTTGGAAAAAAAATTATACGTATACCTAATGATAACGTTTGTAAGAAAGATAATAGGAAACTACGGTTTTAAAAGTGTTCGTGATTCTTCATTTAGAATATGTATTTAAATATTTAAGAGAGGGCGACAAATATTCGTAAACTATAAAAATATGTTTTAAAGAATGACTATGGTTATAACTTTTTAAAACTTACTAACAAATTTTAATAATCTACTAACCAAATACATACAACTTCTCTCCTACATTTATTAACCACTAAATTTAATGATCTTTGGCCTATCGATAAACTGACTATAATTAACTTCTATGAGATTATTATAGGTGCTTGACAGTCCTAGAATAAGATGGGAAAGTTTACGGCATCCTCAAGTTTGAAATAAATCTTCGACTGTCATTAGTTTGCACTAGAAGCCAAAAATTGTCTAAAAAATTAAGTAAAAACTAAACAAAAATCAAATCTTTTAAATTATAAATACGATAAAAAGGTGGTCGTTGCTCTCAGAAATGGGAAAATTAATCAAAAACACTGTCTAAATAAGAATACAGCTCAATGTAGAATATGACGGACAAAGAGTAAGCTAAATAAGAATTATGAAAGTTTATAAATAAGATCGAAGTGATTAAACAAGAAAGAATTAATATGGAGTGATCTCAGAAGGATTTTAGTGTTCCATTTTCATATTAACTTTGTGAACAGTTTAAATGAACTATGCTTATGATAGATTTTGAAGAAGATAAAGATACGTATATTTATGATACATTCTTAATAGGAACCAATAATTTTGGTACAGAAATAATTATTAGGCTTCACATGAATACTTTTATAGAATATGAAAATCTTACTAAATAGCTAGAAAACTCATAGGTTACAAAGGACGTATGAAATTTTTCAGTATCTTAGACATGTTCTTCACCAGTGTGACGCATTAGATAAAATAAGAAAGTGACTATCATAATATTGCAGTAATATATATGAAACAAATGCTTTGCACTTCAATAAAGAATAGTTACAAAGTGATTTCATATACTGAATGAACAAAGGTAAAACTGAAAACGAGGTCTTTTGCTGTTCTACAGTGTTCAGAAGGTTAAGCGCGCTAGACATAATCATGGGGGAAATTTTTCAAATCATACTGTGTAACATCCAGCTCCTTCCACTGGCGGAACAAATAAGGAATCTCCATTAATTAAATACCAGTTGGGACTATGCTCTACACAAACAGAATCCATACCAAATCGTTCAAGTTTAAAGTTGTGATGTGGATCTGTAAAATAAGTAAAAAAACGAATGAAAAGTGAATTGCCCATACCAGTTTGTGAGGTAATCTAGGTCTGTGAGAGAAACGAAAAGCCGAAATCGTTATAAACTACAATACACAACTTTGAATGAATTCATACTGACAAGGAAGTTTAGTTAGATAATCAACACCACATATTTATCAATTATTTGGAGGCGAATATTATGGTTATATATTTTCAAGTACCCTATAAATATGGGAAAAAAGCTTATGAATTGTATTGAGCTATTTATAAATAACATAATATAAAGTTGACTTCAGCTTTAAATCCAATTGGGACCAACAATTTGATTGAAGTTTACTTCCTTCTCAATAATAACTATGTGTCACGAAAGAAATATCAAGTATCCTAATGTATCTCTGATATATACTACAATTCTTTCTGAATGGTTTTACTTGCTGTCATCCTGTTTTCGTCCATTCAATTACAAAAAGCATCACCAATACTTCAAAACAAATGAAATCACTTGATGAGAAGCGAGTGAAATTAATTATCATTAAAATTAGTTTATTTCAAAACATTCAATGAAACAAAACAATCAAATGAAAACTATCCCATTTAAAGTTTAATATTTATTTTTGTTAGTTCATTCGGAGAAATCAAGAGGAAAAAAGCAACAGATATTACCAATAAATATAACAAATAGTTCATCTTGAGCTCATATAAACTGATAGCCTGGCTATAATAAACAATTCAGTTGATAAATCGAAACAGTACAAAAAAAGAGACTAACCCGATTAGTCTATTGAGTAATTTAATACAATTAGAATATAGAAACAAAACTATTTGGCAATTTCAGAAAGGGTTTTGTGGATACTATAGTAATATTAATAAATGAGGCCATGAGTCAATTGAAGCCCGACCACTATGGAAAACCTGGAAACACTAGACGGCCGGGTTCGAATCTCGCGAGGCGGAATCGAGGAGGAGAACTTCTGAGGAGTCCCACAATAGGACGAAACGGCCGTCCACTGCTTCCGGGCTTTTTTTTTTAGCTTCAATTGACTCATGATCTCAATTATTGAAATTACCTGGCAATTGTTCGATAGAAACTAATTTGACTGTCATATGATTTAAAATATACTTCTTTTAAAAATGAAGTGAATAATGACAATATTGAATTTGATTTATTAATTTAACATTATATAAATTTTACTATAAGTTAAAATGAAGTGTCAATGTAAACAAGATTTAATTTAAGTTACCTTTCAAATTAGTTGATGCATGACAATGAGTATTAGCAATTGATTTTCCTACATCATCTTCCCATTCAATTTCCTACAAAAAATGTTTATATAAGAGTGAATAGAAATTGACTCATGACCACAACTACTGAAATGACTTAAATCTCCACAAAACCCTTTCTGATGCTATTAAATGTATTGAGGCAAAACATTTCAATGAAGATAAAAAAACCCATAATATATTTGTGATATCCCAATGAGTAGGAATTCGAATTTCTGATGTTTCGTAACGTAATGTAAGCCAATATTTCAAAGTAAACAAATGGATAACCGAATTAAATAGTATAAAGGAACAAGGCAGAATACTTAGTCTAGTCGAAATCAAAATCAGAATAAGTCTGATTATGTCTATGTCATGTGAACATTTAGGTCATGATTATGTGTTTAAATATCACATTAAGTGAATTTTTGGTCTTTATATTTAGACCATGTTTTACTATAGTTAAGAAAATCTTAAGTAGCCATCGAATGTATGTTTTTGGAAACTCTCAAACAGAATCATATAAACAGAGATGAACTTAAGGCAATATCTAGGAAATTCGCACATGATGCACATATGCCAATAAGTGACTGATTAATTGCAGTTCTAAACATCAATGGAAGGATTCAAACAATCAATACAAAAAATCAATTAGAATCAGATATATTTTATACGAATATTTGTCAATATTTAAATGAATAGTTTGATAGAAACTCAAATATAATTTTCTCAATTAAGGATCAAATTTAGTTTATACAACTGGATTTTACTTACATGTACACTAAAGTTTAGACCCTTCACACTTTTTTAACTGTGTTTATATCATGGATCTAAATACCCGAAATAACGATGCTAAATCAACAGACAACAAGTGAGAGTTTTCTTTCTATAGTTTTGTCCATTTAATTGTTATACCGTTAAAAATCCCAACAACAAAAATGCTTAACTCTCACACATTCACAATTACATAATACTCTCTAAGTGAATGATTTTGTTAGCAGTATAATTAAATAAAATAATTTAATTAACAAACCTGATGATATGGACAGTAATTAGCCAAAGCTATTTTTCCTCCTAATTTAACCAAAGGATACTGATTAGTTAAGTTTCCAGTACCTAGATTGATTTCAGAATTCAATGTAACAGTCGAGAAATTTGTATTAACGAAATATACATATTCATCAGGCAATGGTTTGGAATATTCAATTAGGTTACAAAATCCATAACTTTCTTCACCAGGTGTACAGCTAACCTGTAATCCATTATTTTTGTTGTGAAAGCTTGAAGTTAACTGTTGACAAAACGGTGCAATTGGATGACCACTATATAAAGGAAAAGAAAACAAATTACGTTAATTAATACCCAAAGAATATTTGTTTGTGAACGAAGATAGTTTACCTTCTGTTTAATCCACGTATTAAAGTATTATGTAATTTACGAAATCTACGAGGAAAAATTTACATAATTAGCAGCGATTGTGAGATATTCATATTCTAATATAATAACTCGTGAAAGTCAACTTCCTGAATTCACATACTAAAAAATAAATGAAAACACATCTCAGACCAAATCTCAGAAGCTGTCAGAGTAAGAGGTTGGATGACCGGTGTTCGCTCGAGACTACAGAGCAAATCGTGGTCCTTGGACTGAATCACGTGCGGTTAGAAAACTAGGCCAAGTTATGTACGAGGTAAAGGTGGGAAGAGACACATGGACTAGACACCGAAACCAACTAGGAAAGCGGATAGCCTCAGACCGCCCATCAACAGAAGTAAACCTTCCCCTTGACATCCTGCTTAAAACCTTCAACTTACCAGCAGCCCCGCCACGAGAAGAAGCTCAACAACAAGCTTATCACCGTTCCAGAAGGTGGCCTCCCCGACAGCGGCGAGCAACAGTCAAGATGCAAGTCGACCCCAGGAAAGTACGCTATTAAAACCGGGACGTGTGTTTTATTTATTATTATTTGAACACATAAATATTGGTACAAGAGAACGCCAATATATATGCGCCACACAAAAAAATGAGAATTCGAGGAGAGAAAAAGGTAAGGAGCGTAAAAAAAGAGAACAATAACGAGGAGATTGGTGTAAGGTAGTGTAGTAATAATGAGGGAACGGAAAGTTACAATCAGAAGAAATCTTTCAGTTAAGGGAGACACAACCACTTTTTATGAAGAAAGTAAAAGAAGGTTACAGCAGGATCGCCACTGGCTTCTATTCTGAGCCATATCTGATAACGTCTCCAGCTACTGTGTTGCACCATCTCTCGGACCCCAGCCAGGGAGTCGTGAAGGACCAACAGAAGCCAGTCCTTTGTAGCTTTCTTTCATGCCACGACACCATGTCATACACTGACCAACTCTCCGCATTTTCCAATCAGTCCCAGAGTCGGCAAATAATGCACGATGTTGGATGACATTCGTAGTACATGTCCAAGCCACCGAAGTCGGTGTTTCAAGATGGTGACACCAATTGAATTATCGTCTCTGCGCCGAACCTCTGCATTACTAACATGGTGTTGCCACTGGATGTCAGCAATCCTTCGGAGAAAGCGATGATCGAACACAGAGAGTCGTCTAACGTCCTCAACTCGAAGAGACCAGGTTTCACAAGCATAGAGCAGAACTGCTCTCACCGACGCGTTGTAGATCCGACCTTTTACAGCCAGACTAACATCACGAAGGCGCCAAAGGTGGCCCAGATTGGCATAAGCCGCTCTGGCTTTCACTATTCGTGCATTGATCTCATCACTCACACCACCACCAGCACTTATGCAGCTACCCAGATACACGAACTTCTCGACTACTTCTATCTGTTCACCATCTAGAGTGAGTACAGGATTAGAATCCTGCCAGTCTTGTAGAAGTACTTTGCACATCGAAGGCGCAAAGCTCATACCGTACCTACGGACACTGATTGCCAACTGATTAATTGCGGATTGCATGCCTTGGGCATTATCGCACAGCAAGACAATATCGTCCGCATACTCAAGGTCGATGAGTCTTTCTCCAGGCAACAGATCCACACCTCAATTGCGTACATCCATCAGAGCTGTTTACAGAATGTCATCGATAGCAACATTGAAGAGGAATGGTGAGATTGGGCACCCTTGTCTAACCCCACTGCTCGAATGGAACAATGGAGAAAGGTGGTTGTATGCCCTCACTCTGCCTGAGGTGTTTGTATACAGGGCTTTTAGGACGTTAATAAACTTCTCAGGCACACCCTTCTTCAATAGACAATCCCAGAGAACAGCCCTGTCCAACGAATCGAAGGCAGCCCTGATGTCAAGAAACACTACGATTGTTGGCCTTTGACAAGTATGGCGGTGTTCTAACATTTGGTGGAGGGTGAAGATATGATCAATACATCCTCGACCAGAACGAAACCCAGCCTGCTCCTCGCGAGTCAATCTTTCTCGGGTTTTGAACAATCTACGAAGTATGACGGAAGCCAATAGCTTGGACGCAATCGGAAGTAGACTTATCCCCCGATATTTGTTGCAGGAACGACGTGAACCCTTTTTAAAGATAGGGACAACTATAGACTCATTCCATGACGTTGGTACACGCTCTAGTTCCCAAACCTTTGTAAACAACGTCGTCAATTCCTTAGTCAAAAAGTCACCACCATCTTTAAAAAGAGCCGGAAGTAAGTCATCTGGGTCAGGTGATTTGTAACGCTTCAAGAGTTGGAGTAGACGGTCCCCGTTATCTGACCTGTGACCAACAAGTCCCCATCGGCCACCTAAACGACTCTCTTCTGTGCCTAGACGCCCGACCTGAGCATTCAAGTCTCTGGCTAGTACCACAATATCTGTCGAACGCACTTCCTGGAGAAGAACAGTTAACTGGTGGTAAAACTGATCCTTGATGGCATCCGGGCTGCAATCTGTCGGGGCTTAGGCGGAGATGACGAAAAGACATCGTTTCTCACACCGATTTCTTCTCACTTTGATGGAACTTTCTAATCTAACAGCACATAGGCGACTGTTAATCGGGATCCAATCGATTAGTGCTGCCTCAGCTCTAGCGCTTAGTGCGGCACCAACGCCAGCAAGACCAGACGGAGATGCCACAGGGTCCCCGGATAAACGCACGTAAAACAAGGTTTTTGAAGCGACAGATGGAGAGAAAATTTGAATTTCCTTATTTTCGCGCCAAAGGCGCTCTTGTCACCTTCATGTCGTATTTCCCACTGGGAAATATCTTAAATACTATTGGTCCGTTGGGTCTTTTAGTATGCTATTTGGTAACTCTCCCCAAGGACAGTTTTTTACTGTATATATACGTTTTGGATTGTTGTTATCGCTCATTTCTGGCTGTTTGCAGAGTGTACTTCCCCATTCCAAGATTGGACTTCTCCCTCTAGTTAGAGGGGCTGGGACGCATCAATAGCTAGCTTACTGGTCTTTGGTCAGCGAGTTTTGTTTCTCGTTCGCAGATTAAGTGAACTCGTGATAGCTTCAACCCTAGCATAATCTCAACTAATAATATTGCTCTAATATCCACAAAACCCCTTCTGAAAACACAATACGCTACATAATTTAGTTATGAAAACTAAAAATTTACGGTGTCATGCAAACTACTAGCTTCAAAATACATTTAAGTAAAAGTTGTTTAGAAGTGTAAATCTTTTATAAGGAAATTTCTGTTCAATATCTTATTCCAAAATTTTGGGACAAGTTCGTATAAGAAGTGGTTTGGTTATAGAAACTCCAAATATTTTTTATAGTTCACTAACAGTGAACCGTTTGAAACTATGCCACCAAAGTATCGTTACGACTCAAATGTAAAAGTCTGTCATTCTATGTTTGCCTTGTCAATAAATACAGTAGAAAATATTCTGCTTATTAGATTCATTAATTATATGTACAACATAAAACAAACTATTCAGAAAAGCTTATTTTGCTACTGAAGACGTCTATATGCTATAGTAATTCCACTGAGTCCACCCAATGAATATGTTAAATTCTATATGGAGCACTAAAGTGCTTCCTCAAAGCTTTATGCAACTGATAATTGTTCAAGGGATTTATCAAGCCGAAGTACGTAATCAAACCATGCATGAAGATCTATGTTACAGTTTATTATCAAATTGATGTTCATTGAACTCTCTTCCATTATATAAATTAGTCCTTAGATGGGAGCTTTAATTTTGTAATTTTTAGTTCTAAGTCAAAATATAAAGTGGCCTGACTTCAGTAGTAACTAATAATTAATTTAGTCGTGATTTCTAATCACTGAAGAACGACTTAAAAAAGACACATTGTCCGAATGTCATGACTTAATTTGATGCTTTTCCTGTAATGCACGACCGAGACCTCAACAAGAATGGAAATCGGTATCTTTTGATGGGATTCTCAACTAAGTCAAGGAGGTCACGATTCGATAATGGACTATTGTGCTGTCAGCAGGCATTTTCATACCATCCTCTAGTCCAATGATTCCAACTGATCTGTACAGATCTCCAAAGTCGTCAATAACGATTGGGTTATTTCGAACGTTTATGTTGACTATTCTCAAATTAATCAAATGCATAATCCACTAACCTGTAAACATTCAACATTAGTGTAAATATTGAATAGCGAAAGTTTTACATCAAATTACTTACCCACGACTTTGTTCTAGCATGTATTCTAAACAACTGCCAGTAGCAAAGGTACATCCTCGACCTCTACCCCAACTGAAAGACTGAGATAATGCATAGTTTGGGATGTACCAGCTTAAATTAAGAAAAAAAATCAAAATTGTAAACCGTTTGTAAATTGCTTCTACTAGAAAATTAAATATGAATGTACAAAATAAAGGTTTCTTAAGCTTCTACTTCAGAAGATCTAGGAGTGACGAGAATGTTAATTATTTATTACACAATTTTAAGGATTCAGGTGAAAAGTTCCACTAACAATTATATGAAAGCCAATCAACCCACAGTTCAAGAGATCAAAAATAGCATGACTAATGGTAAATTATAACAGTTAAACTCGGTCATTTGTTGATTAGATGTTTAGCTCAGCAAACAGTCTGTTGAAAACCAAACAAATACTTTGAAAATGTAGTGTCTGAAAACACTAAGAAACTACATAAAACTACGAACGAATTTGTTAGGATATTAAGAACGAGCACAAAATTCTGTTTCCCTCATCAATCATTGGAATACATTTGAAAAGTATGATCCATTGTTATAATTGAAGAACTTTGAAAAGCTATTTGGCAAACAAACTGTTGATATTCATTCTTAGTTTTAACTATTTAATTGTACTATACCGTTGAGCCAGGTGGTCGGCTTCAAGGCCTGCTGCTCCGGCAACATCGGTCAGACTGTCCTGCCCTCCATGGCCGGTGACGACTGATCCACCAAACGAGGAGGAAGTCCGCAAGGAACTCCAACTCTTGAAGCGTTACAAATCACCTGACCCAGATGACTTACTTCCGGCTCTTTTTAAAGATGGTGGTGACTTTTTGACTAAGGAATTGACGACTTTGTTTACAAAGGTTTGGGAACTAGAGCGTGTACCAACGTCATGGAATGAGTCTATAGTTGTCCCTATCTTTAAAAAGGGTTCACGTCGTTCCTGCAACAAATATCGGGGGATAAGTCTACTTCCGATTGCGTCCAAGCTATTGGCTTCCGTCATACTTCGTAGATTGTTCAAAACCCGAGAAAGATTGACTCGCGAGGAGCAGGCTGGGTTTCGTTCTGGTCGAGGATGTATTGATCATATCTTCACCCTCCACCAAATGTTAGAACACCGCCATACTTGTCAAAGGCCAACAATCGTAGTGTTTCTTGACATCAGGGCTGCCTTCGATTCGTTGGACAGGGCTGTTCTCTGGGATTGTCTATTGAAGAAGGGTGTGCCTGAGAAGTTTATTAACGTCCTAAAAGCCCTGTATACAAACACCTCAGGCAGAGTGAGGGCATACAACCACCTTTCTCCATTGTTCCATTCGAGCAGTGGGGTTAGACAAGGGTGCCCAATCTCACCATTCCTCTTCAATGTTGCTATCGATGACATTCTGTAAACAGCTCTGATGGATGTACGCAATTGAGGTGTGGATCTGTTGCCTGGAGAAAGACTCATCGACCTTGAGTATGCGGACGATATTGTCTTGCTGTGCGATAATGCCCAAGGCATGCAATCCGCAATTAATCAGTTGGCAATCAGTGTCCGTAGGTACGGTATGAGCTTTGCGCCTTCGATGTGCAAAGTACTTCTACAAGACTGGCAGGATTCTAATCCTGTACTCACTCTAGATGGTGAACAGATAGAAGTAGTCGAGAAGTTCGTGTATCTGGGTAGCTGCATAAGTGCTGGTGGTGGTGTGAGTGATGAGATCAATGCACGAATAGTGAAAGCCAGAGCGGCTTATGCCAATCTGGGCCACCTTTGGCGCCTTCGTGATGTTAGTCTGGCTGTAAAAGGTCGGATCTACAACGCGTCGGTGAGAGCAGTTCTGCTCTATGCTTGTGAAACCTGGTCTCTTCGAGTTGAGGACGTTAGACGACTCTCTGTGTTCGATCATCGCTTTCTCCGAAGGATTGCTGACATCCAGTGGCAACACCATGTTAGTAATGCAGAGGTTCGGCGCAGAGACGATAATTCAATTGGTGTCACCATCTTGAAACACCGACTTCGGTGGCTTGGACATGTACTACGAATGTCATCCAACATCGTGCATTATTTGCCGACTCTGGGACTGATTGGAAAATGCGGAGAGTTGGTCAGTGTATGACATGGTGTCGTGGCATGAAAGAAAGCTACAAAGGACTGGCTTCTGTTGGTCCTTCACGACTCCCTGGCTGGGGTCCGAGAGATGGTGCAACACAGTAGCTGGAGACGTTATCAGATATGGCTCAGAATAGAAGCCAGTGGCGATCCTGCTGTAACCTTCTTTTACTTTCTTCATAAAAAGTGGTTGTGTCTCCCTTAACTGAAAGATTTCTTCTGATTGTAACTTTCCGTTCCCTCATTATTACTACACTACCTTACACCAATCTCCTCGTTATTGTTCTCTTTTTTTACGCTCCTTACCTTTTTCTCTCCTCGAATTCTCATTTTTTTGTGTGGCGCATATATATTGGCGTTCTCTTGTACCAATATTTATGTGTTCAAATAAATAAATAAATAAATAAATAAACTATACCGTTGAAGGAGTTTGTTTACAGTCACCAGGTGAAATCATGCTAAAGTATATATGTGTAACTTAGTTCATCGATGATTTACGATATTAGTTAAACAAATCTATCATTTGCAATGTATTTGTAGGTAAACAGATACTTTTATTAACCTTCAACTTGTCAGAAAATATTTTCTCAATAACGTGGAAACCAGATTATGATGAGTGAAGTTTGAGATTTTGAGTTTAAGATTCTGAAACTCAATACATAAAAAGTTCTTTTGAATAAAATCATTTCGATAATCTATGTCTACAACCAAGAGCGTAGTTAGAAAGTAATTTTTTCTTTTTTTCGAAAATTTCTTTACTGATTATGTTAATTGACAAACAAAATTATCCCGTTAATCACATCACACCTTTACAACTGACTATTAAGTGTCGGACTTTCATACAGTATATTTCAAATGAACTGTTGTAATGTTGAGTATTTACATATAATACAATGAGCATTGAAAAATTTGAATAAGATCTAGGAATTGTAGGCTAATTTTAAGTGATCACCACATAATTATCTTAAAGCACTGAGATTTAAACGTTTTATTAATGGGAGAAAAAGTAATCAACTCTTAGGGATATAAATTTAGAATACAAAGGGTTTAGAGCCACTTGAACTTAATGAGCTTACCCGGTATCCTCCATCATTGCCAGAGTAATCGGTGAAATTCGAAAAGAATTTGTGTATGTTGCCGTCATTAAATCATTCTTTAAAAAATGTTTGAAAATTTAGAAATTTAAATGTAACTACTCATAAGTAACTTAGTATCTAAGACATAAACCATAAACAACAAGCTACGGAAATACGAACAAAACAAGTACTATTGTGATTTTTGAGTTGATGGATTTTAAAATATTCACGGAGATTTAACAATTGATCCCGAGAGAAATAGTTGATCATGAATACTTGATGGTTATTTGTTGAAGAATGACGAAATAGTTCAATTTCATAGGAAGAACAAATCTCCAGTTAAGGATACTGACACAACAATGTAATCGTTTGGAATATGACTATCGTGAAATTTATCGTCTGTGACATGTGATTACGTTTCGAGAAGGTGTAATCACAGGAATTAGTCAATTGGCTATATGCATTAGTTATAGATGTCTAGTTGTATGATAATCTAAACATCACCAAACAATAAAATAGTATTCAGGCTTAATTTTCATCCTTAATTGCATTTACTATAAAATCCTTAAGTGCTCTACAGCATTTTAACCATTCATTTTTAGATTTGGATACTACATAAATTATAAGTACTACAACTCTATGTTGTTCTAGATATTATGAGCTTACTGGTTATCATTTTTCTAATAGATGCATTTATTAGTAAAACATACCTCTAAAAGGCGTTTCTCCCAGTGTGTTAGATACACTCCTGCATCATCCTCATCTTCTAACTCGACACCATCAAGATTCGGACAGTTGTAGAATGATCTGGCGATACGCTATAAGATAGAATTTTTTAAAAGATTTATTTTGTCAACTTATATATTTATATATGTACTAGAGGTATTTGTGTGGTGTAAGCTACTTATGTCGACAGATATAAGTGGTATACAACACCAATCAGAAGTGGAATGCCTAGCAGCAGAAGGCTAAAAAGATCGAGATGAGGAATTATACGGAATGTGAAGGACAATTGATGGAAGATTTGCAAATGAAGTATTTAATATATGGTTTTCACACTTTAGCAGAGAAGTGTAATTTTGCGTTAAATAATAAATTAGCTATCACCATCTGTGTTTTAGTTCACTACATTCGTATCAGTTATTTATTTTGCGTTTCGAAGATCACCTATTTTGAAGAGTAAAGGCTACCTTTATTTATGCGGAAAGAGTCGTGACCGGATTTTTGCATAGCAACTAATTAACGAAATCCTATTTCACCGCAATCAATATATATATATATATATATATATATATATATATATATATATATATATATATATATATATATATATATATATATATATATATATATATATATATTACAATCCTTTCATTTACCTCCCACTAAAGACATACGTGTCACAAGTTTTTTAAAGTGAACGGATTGTAGTTATCAGTAGGAACCATTAGGTACGTTTATTTAAGCTGTGTCGGTAGGATATATCTACATCTCTGTGTTGGCATTTACATTTGGATCAGAACACATTAACGTTTGATTAAAATTCCAAAACCTATCCAGTCCAAGTGGCCACTAACTTCTTCAACAGATAAGATATTAATGTTATCGTTAACAAGAGTTTGAAACATCCCATCACTGATATTTAGGACTGAATTTTGATCAATCTTTGTTGGTATATTTATAGCCTGTACGAATCCGAAATAGGACAAAAACTCCAATCCTCAATGTTACTGCTAACAATAATCCGTTTTTTTCCGAAACACTTGTGATACAGTGGCTAAATCGTATAGAATACGCATATGCCAACAAAGATTGATCGAAATTTAATTATGAATATCACCTACAGGATAATGAAAACCCTTACTAAAAATTATATATATATATATATATATATTCTTTAAACCATGAACTACCATCTTAAATTTACTGGTAAATAAGGTGTAATATAAATTTCATTGTCGATTGATTGACTGATGTATGGCTTTAGTTTATGTAATAAATACTAAAGGTCCAATTTATTACTTATCTCAATAAAGTGTAATCTGTTTTAAAATGGATTTCTTATTTATATCAATTTTGTTTGTTGGTAAAATGAATGAATATATAGAGATAATAAGTTTTATTTTTATTCACTCACTTATTTAAAACATTAATTAGTCATATTAGAAAACCATAATTCACTTTAAATGAAAATATAGAAAGTAAATGAAACAGTAAATAAAAGGTAATAATTATATATTTAGATACATTGAGTCTATTTCCTTACTAGTAAAGATGGTTTAACAAAATAAATCACTGGTTTATTTATTATTTTAACCATATATAGACAATTATTTTAATAAAGTGATTTATTTGTAAAAACAATCATTCTAACATAATGAGTAACATTTTAAAAGTGTTCCATCTATTTCTGATGAATGGATGATCAAGTTACTTGAATTTACTTTCAGTCAGTAGATATACACTACAATCTGTCCTGTGTGTAAATGAATGTATAATAATTAATCTAAATTCGTTTTTTCTTAAAAAAAAATCATTTTAAGGTTTTTTTTTCTCATAGGAACAAGTATTTTATTACCCCGCAAAAAAAATGGTTCATGCACTTAATACTTTACAGATAAATAGTCCAACAAAATTATAAAAAATATCTTAAAAGGAATTTCTTTTCTTTAGGTACAAAAGTTACAAATTCGTGACTGTATGTAAACAATATTAATAATTTGAAAATAGTAACTGATATTTCATAAGTTAGACATTATCTCTGGAAGCTATTTGATAATAATAATATTAATAATATAACACTGATATATCCATTTTTGTTGATCAAGAAGCCATGTAAACCGTAGTTGAACATATGACAATTTCCATATTTGTCATCCCATTAAATAATTAAAGTTGAGTCCAATCATACTGGTTGAATGAGAAATCATTTATTACATTAAATTATGTAAACATAAAATCAGATTTATCAGTATGTATTTAACAAATGACTACAATATTTTACGTATAAATAAAAGAAGGAAAGGAATAGTTTTCTATTAAATAAAAATCAGATAATCTATGAAAATGGTTATATCTGGAATTGTCGTCGCTGTTCTGTACGTATTATTTCTTTTATTTCCTTATTACCTGTACTTGACAGTCGGGGACCATTGAGATTTTCACGACGCAAAGTAAGAACATGAAAGACTAGTGCAATAAAGATTTATTGACTCCGCAGAAATACATTTACAAAGAAGTTTCGAAATCACATTATTATTAGATTGAAATAAAATAATTTATATACTGATTTCTCCACACGATAATATAATATATAGGAGAAAATATACTGGAAACATACGCTGAATATGATTAACTTGAATTGATATAAGAAATATAAGTGTCAAGCTGAAGGAAGCACGGAATACAATGGACAGCTTGCCTGCAACTAGACGAATGGATGACTAAGCCCTTCTATCCCATACACACGAACAAATGAAGGTCAAGACATCCAGTATAACAGACGCCTCTGCATCAGTAGGCCTTAACATACACAATGAAAAAACAAAGATCCTCAAAAAATTAAACGCAGACAATACCAAACCAATCTCATTTGATAGAGAAGCTCCGGAAGAGGTGGAAACTTTCATGTACCTGGGCAGCATTATCAACGAACATGGACAGTCTGATCCAGGTATGAAGTCAAGGCTTGGCGAATCAAGGGCCGCGTCCCTACAGTTAAACAACATATGAAACTCAAAACAACTGTCTATCAACCAACATCGAAGTCTGAATCTTCAATATGAACGTCAAGACAGGTCTACTGTACGGAGCTGAAACCTGAAGAACTACCACAACTATCATCAAAAAGGTATAATTATTTATAAACGGTTGTCTACGAAAGATATTCAATGTCCGTTGACCGGATATCATTAGCAACAACCTACTGTAGAAGAGAAAAAACTATCTTCCGGCTAAAGAGAAAATTAGGAAAAAGCAACGGGATTGGATAGGATGTACAATACTGAAATCACCAAACTGCACGAGGAGGCAATCCCTAACTTGAAATTCTGAAGGGAAACGAAAAAGATGAAGGCCGAAGATTACAATACACCAAGAATCGGAAGCAGACATCACAAAGATGAATAGCAACTGGAAAGGATTGCCCAGGACAGGGTTGGATTGAGGATGCTGGTGGATGGACTATGCCCCTCCATGAAGAGTAACAAGCGTAAGTAAATGTACTGAACCAAGTTTATACTGATCTGACACAGAAGATACTGATCCAAATAATGTTATCTTTTTATCCCGTTATATCAGAAACAACGTCCTGAAATCAAAGCGATTAATCACGCCATGATACATTTATTAGGAATAGAAACTTTCAACAGTGCAGTAATTACCACAATTATTAAGTTAATTAAAATAGAATTTTATCATTTAACTCATTAAACAATTTTAAAAAAGTAATGGCATTCATTTTATTAAATATTTTTAATTTCCAGCAAATTAATTTTGTGCAAACATGAATTGAGTGTTGTATACTTTTAGCAATAATCTGGGTAGATTACACTATAACACTTAATTTAGACGCTTTAGTCTATCCAGGAAAAATGACCTTAAAACACTTTATTTTGATATAATTGGTACTATAGTTTGATTTATTTCCATATTTAGAATTAATTGATCAGAATCTATCGAAGTATTTGTTAACAACTCAACAGTAAGGGATATTTGTGACCATTGAGAATTCCGAATTTCCTTAGTTATTTAGGCTTACATTAGTCAGTGATATAGTTCAAGATTGAATTAATTATGGACAAAATATCTATCCGACTTAACAGAAATAGTTTTCAGTGAAAAAAAAACAAGTAAAAATTGTGAAATTCAATTCAAATGGGAAGTAAATAATTGAAAAAGGTTAGTTGACTGACAGCTTAATTAATTCAGCAATACGCTCAAAGAGAATAATAGCAAATACAAATATCATGCAAGGATGATGAATGTCAGAAAAATGACAACTGTTATTACAGCTTTTCATACAATACGTGAATAGATAACGTGAAGGAGATAATTTAGAGATTTAAGGAAACACAAGCTAAATAGTAATACAGTATCCAGAAATGAGAATAACACATAGAATATAGCACAATGATTATTGATAAAGTGATATCGACATTCTAGAAGGGACATAAAACAAAAACTAGTACGTTATTGGAGTCTTAATTATTTTACATAAATTTTTTTAAACATAAAGTGACTACCCCACTCTCATAAAAGATTGGTCGTTACTTTAATTAGCTAAACAGATTTTAGTTGAATAAACAGTGATGAATGTCATGAAATGAGGTATTATGAAAATATTTATCTGCATAGACAAATATGATGTTGCATTTGTTCCACTGATACAACATATTTCATTTGTATGTATTAATTGCAATTAAAAAACATCACAAGAATACTGATCTAGAGATAGAAAACTTTCTAAATCAGTAGATTATTTACATTATGAAAGCTAGATACAGAAGTTATTTTTGTCAAATCTAAAATCTCAGCGTGCAATGCTAAATTGTTATATATATATATATATATATATATATATATATATATATATATATATATAGAGAGAGAGAGAGAGAGAGAGAGACTACATTGAAGACCTGGAAGCAGTGGGTCGCCATTTCGTTCTAGTATGGGACTCCTCAGCAGTGCGCATCTATGGTCCTGCACGTGAGACTCGAATCCAGGACCTTCGGTCTCGACTCATGAATCGAATTATTAAAATTACTAGTCTCCACAAAACCCCCATTCTGTTAATAATCATCCTGAGCTCGCTAGTGACTGGCTTCAAGGAGTATTTCCTGGAGTTCTAGTGAGAAGCCGTGAACAGTAGAATTCAACCGTACCTGTTGTGAAGCAGTTACCCACTAAAGATAATGTTGAACGGTGGTGCAATATCGTAGATTGGTTGAATTTAGACATTAACAATGTTGGACGCTTGCTCAGTGGTATAGAGGTTAAGCGTTTGCCCGCGAGACCGAGGGTCCCATACTAAGTCAAAACGGCCGTCCAGTGCTTCCAGGCTCCCAATGGTGGTCTAGCTTAGATCGACTCATTAATTCAACTATTGATATTTAGTTTTTGGGCTGCATAGTATTCATGGTAGATATATAGCAGTATATTATGTTTAAACTAATGAGACTATATGGCTGAATCCATCGAATAATTTGAAAACGAAAACACTAATTTGAGATAAACCATTTCAAACGTCGGAAAGCTATTTTATATGCATTTTGTTATTGAACAGTACACTGAAATAGTAGGCATGAACTAAATGTCGTTGTGACTAATATGTAGAAGAGACAAAAAATAATTAGAATTTATCTCAGGAAGCATCGACACCCGCATTCCAAATACTATTTCTGTCACAGTTTCAACTTTGAATATTTATTATATACACATGAAAAATGAGATGCATTGGATTTTCCAAGAACAGTTTAAATAAATAACCTCCATAAGTAAAAGAAATCTCAGAAAGTTATACGGGTTACAGATGATATTTATCGACTATTTTTAAAATAAAGACACGTAATCCCTATTCTGCCTTGACTCCTTATTGAAAATAATGGACCTCAAGATATCTACAAAAATAGTAAACATATTCATGTTAAAAATAAATCTAAAATTTACTTGTCTTTAACAAATTCTTAAATGTACAACTAAGAGTCACCATTAAAAAGTATGATAACATGATTTTAATGTAATACATAAACAAGTTTATCTTTAAAATGTAATATGGTAAAACTGAGTAGAAAGTAGATTATGAAGACTCAGACTCAGCAAATTTTCAGAACACTTTTTTAATCACAATTAATTATCATCAAATGAAAACCATTTCAAAATTATTATCAGTACACTAACTACCAGTGTAGTCTTAGGAGAAGAATACGAATCGTTGCTTTTTTCTAAATAACAGTTAAATCTGTCGATAGATAAATTATTTTATTTAGTGAGCTTAATTTATTTAACAACGTACTGATACGGAATTCATTTGTAGATAGACGGAGATACATGACGTGACTGATTATGATATTGATTAGGTTGGCTTTCTAATAGTAACCAGATTGAGAAAGCAATACTAAATCTGATTGGTTAATTGTACATGTTACGTAGTAAAGTCAGACCAATAGTGACTCGGTTAATTATAAATGACATTTTAAAAAAGCGCATGTCAACAGTATTGATCAACTACTAATTGGAACTGTGATATACTAAATCGGGTCTGTTTTGATTTTTGGTCTGCTATCAGAAACATCATATAGATTTTAACAACGATAAGTTTTGAAAATGAAGTCCCTTTAATCAATCTGTACAATACAATGGGTAAAAGGTCTGATAACTGACTAACATTCACACATGGGAGTGAAGTTTGATTGTCAAACCTGTTTAATTGGTGATGTAAAATTTTTATGAAATAATATGCATAACTGAGAAATAATTTTACTGACTAACATCAAAATTTGGTAATACAATGGTTGGAAGGAAAATATGAGCTGTTCTTTAATAGGGAAATAAAATATTCATACGACTAATAATATTTCTGGAAAAAATTCTAACAGTCAATGGAAAGGAAATTGTTTACAAAAGTGAATCTTTAAAAGTGAGAAATGACCTACTTTAAAATTATTGTGATAAAATATGGAACTCTTCAGTAGTTTGGTTGGGATGGTATATACAATAATGTTACAAAGGTTAATATTAGTAAGTTTTCGAGAAAGAAACGGATACAGAAAAGAAGTAGGTAATTTGTTTTCATATCTACTCAATATATAAAATGACTGGTTACTAAATCACTCCAAATAAGTTTTACTTTTATCTGAGCCCGCTGATGAAGTTTGTATGATCATGGGGAGAATTTAAGAACATGTTCGCACATAATATGACAAAAAGTATAATCTATAAATAAAAACGCTAAGATACAAATACCACAACCTTTTTTATGGTAGCATAAAACACATTTAGGTGTTTAAGATCATAGTAATTATTTTGTTGTACTATCGGAGTAAATTATTATGCATGTATAAAAATAAAATAGATTGCACATTTCGCAACAAATATCCTCAAAAGACTCAATCTAAAATCTTACTCATCTTTACACTGAATTGGACATCAGCATTCAAAACGTAAAAAATGTTCTATAAGAATTATACTTTCATGTACTGGGAGAACTACGCCTTTGATTGTATATGCATAGTTTTCATGTGTAAATTCACCGCATAATGGTAATCCAATTTGTAAAATTAAGTTGTATAGAAGTACGTTCGTTAACTTTTAAAAATGATCAGGGATACTTTTTCAATCACAACTCTTGGTAAAATTAAGGTTTAACGATTGGGTCTCAAAGAACATTTGGTAGAAAACCAGAGAGATAAATCACAGGACTCCAGTTCAAATCTGAAGGCTGCTGTTATCCATGTAGATATCAGTCAGCATTACATGTAAGATGTTTATTTAATTATAATAGAGAATATACATTTCGCTAATTAGATCACACTAAATCAGAAGAGTTTATTATTCTGTCAAGCTATTTCAGTTTTGTGTTATCAAGCACCTAGGACAGTTTTGTTTAACATACTGGTTCACTGATCAATTTTATTTCTGGTGATTACATGAAAAATTATTTATGGCTTTAGTAATGTCCATTATAAGTAGACGATTAGTAAATGTATTAATGAATTATAGACATAACACAATGATATAATTAGTTATGAATGCACGACTTTCAAATGAATGATATTTTTCGCTTAGATTACTATTACACTCTATTCATGTAAACAATAATATTTATATGAATATATGAGAAAATATAATTAACTCAATTTATGAATTACTAATCAAACATAGAGTACATTGGGTAACTAATTGTAATAAATAGGTAGTGGTTATGATAAATAAAACGTTACAAATACAGTTTGATGACAAAATGATTGGTATTAAAATTTAGCCATGTAGAGAATACAAAAAAAGGAGCACCACAGTGCATAGGTTTGAGTTCTCACATTTCTCAGAATCATTAAGATAGAAAATCAGTAAAAAGTAAAACTCACCAAAGAGAAGAGATCGAATAAATTTTTCTCGACCAAAAGAAAATAGAATATATTTTCTAATCCTTGACAAATCTAGGGTTGTTAAGGTAACATCTTTAACCCTTAGATTCCAGCATTCAAGTTAATGTAGTCAGAGCAAACAACTGTTTCTCAGACAACTCTTACTAAAAGCTGATGCCTACATGAGTTATTATAAACTTATAGGTTTTATTTTATATTGAATCGCAACTCAAAGTAAAACTACGTACTTTTTATTTTTTAATGTTGATAACAGATACACTGAAAATAAATTTCAGGTTTATCCATCGAGAGAGAATTTTGCAGCACTAGTGACGGAATTCTTTTTCTGTTCGGAATAATTACCGTATAATATGCCACTGAGTCTAATGTTACCTGGTTTTTGGATGTTTCTTAGTTAATGTCGCTTAATGGTGTAAGTTACCTTTTAGTTATGCTAAAACTCCATAGAGCCGCTTAAATATATACCAAAGTAAACGATTTTTATCATTTTAAACATTGAAAACAATATTCGAAAGTATACTTAAAATATAATTTACTTACTACAACAGTCGGTAAAACCACAATGTGCGCTAATTTTTGAAAAGTTCCAAAAGCACTTAACCAAGTACGATTAACCGATCGAACCACATTGTCACTCCACTGGTATACTTGACTGAGAATATAAGAAAATAATATATAGTTATGATTGATAGAACAAAACGTTTATTATTGTTAAGCTGAATATTTTCCTGATTGTAGTGAACAAGAACACTAGTGGGGACAATCGAATGTATTTAACAAAATTACAGGACTTGTTAATAAAATCTAACAATCATAAAGTAAATGCTTAATTTGCAAAATGTCCATCAATTGTCCTAAAATGACTCAGACTTCATTGTTGTTGCATTTTTATACAAATTGCATTCTGTTTCCATTCTTTACTATTCGATCCTCTTGTCTCTCTGCTGCCAGACCTTCTGTTCATGACTAGCATCATATACTACTAATGTCATTAAGTGTAGCACACACCACATGATTAAGTGACTTGTTAAAATCACAACTTTTGATTTTCATATGTAGGGATATACATTGAAAAATAATCATTCATCATTCTGACATGTTTTACTTTCCATGAAAATATACCTCATTTTATGACTCAAAATGAATGGGTATTATAAATTGTAAAACAGAACGTAGCAGTCACAATTGATTGATCACTGGGTGGTAATCAATGTCATGCTTGTCTAGTCCTTATTAGTGCAGATCGAATGCTATCGATCATGTTGCAATGTGGCCACCAGTCTAGGTGACTCGACACTGCGGGCACTATGTATTGAGATTTAGATGGTGGTTGGAGGAAGTCAACAGGTACACCTTGCTGACGAGTGCCAAGTAGCACGAAACCCGGGTCCAGGGTTTCCTGTTAACTACCTCCAACCACCATCTAAATCTCAATACATAGTGCCCGCAGTGTCGAGTCACCTAGACTGGTGGCCACATTGCAACATGATCGATAGCATTCGATCTGCACTAATAAGGACTAGACAAGCATGACATTGATTACCACCCAGTGATCAATCAATTGTGATTACATCTCAGTCCTACAGGAGGTTAGTCACGGCTCGGATAGCTCAGTGGTAACGTCTCTGACTGTGAAGCTGAGTGACACGAGATCGAATCCGCCAGGGAGCACCAGTTCCCTCAAGATTACAGGTACACCTTGCTGACGAGTGCCAAGTAGCACGAAACCCGGGTCCAGGGTTTCCTGTTAACTACCTCCAACCACCATCTAAATCTCAGAACGTAGCAGTATTTACAATGTTTATTTAAAATTAGTTCAACATTAACTTAAACTATTTACTAAACAGCAATTTCACTCTTATCCATAATTAAGTATATCAACATTGAATTATAAGGTAACTCAAGCTTAGATAAGCTAATTGCTTAAGATTTGAATCTATCAAGCCAAAAAATGAACGGAGTGATGAATTATAGAAAAAAAAATTTCTTAACAAAAAACCTTAACCAGAGTAAATCTAAAGTGTACCTATAAAAAAAAAGAATGAAAAGGAGTTGATGAAACAAGTTTTAGAATTTACTTTGTATGTAAATAAACTTTTGTTAATATATAAAATTTTAGTATAAAAAACTTGAATTGTTTACTGCTAGTTTATTTGAAAATAATTAATTTAGGGATATTTAGATTGTAAGTAAAGAAAACAATCTGTTTATTAAAAGTATAATAAAAACAGTATTATTGTAATAGTTGACGGTTACTCATTTTCTTAGTTTCTTAGCACACGTTTTTTTTTGTAAATTATATGAAATCATCTCGAGGTTGTTTTTCTTTTCTTCTTTTTTGATTAATTTTCTCTTTATTTTAAAGATGACTATTTCATACATTAAATTATTTGTATATGTAATTTATTTATTATTTATAGGAGGTGAACTAATAAATTATTCTAAATTATACTGTGGTGTGAGCTACTTATATTCATATAAGTAGTATATGACGTGCGTTAAATAAACGTAAGGTCCGGCAGCAGAAGATGGCGAAGATCAAGAAAGGAAGAGCAAGAGCACAACGGAATTGTAAGAAAACACATGTACAATGGAATGGGAGACAATGGATTAGTGTTTGCAACGGGAACAGTACAGTTTGATATGATGGAATGATATTTTGCAAATTGACGATTGACTTTATGGTATTCACATTTTATTCAGATAGTCTGTAATCTTTGTGCTAAATACAATCGATTGTCCCCACCCGTGTTCTTGTTCACTACAATACTACTATTGAGTCGATAATTTTTTTTTTCATTCAACAAAAAAAAAAACAAAATTAATAAACAATCATGAAATCATTTATTTGAGAAACAGGGACAATTTTGTGTAGAATTGCCCAATTTTTATGATTATAGTTTGTAATTAGTTGTCAGTTATAAAATATACAACTTGGGGATCAGTCGTCATTAGAGTAAATAGTTAATAATAAAATAAACAAGTATGTTCGAATTAACGATAAAATATTGATTTCATTCTTTTCGACTAGAACATCTTTATTTACAAATCATCTAATGATATTAGTGTTAGTTGTTAAAACTGGTTACTGTATAATTCATAAACATTCGAAAAAAACGTGTTCTGAACTGGATTAACAGTTCAAATATCAATAACCTTCAAGAAGGATCAATGTAATTAACGAAACTTAAAGATAAAGTAAATATTCCAAGTTCTACTCTCAACCAAATACAAAATATCCTGATGACACTTAAGATACAAACATTTGAATGTTTATAAAATGAGATTATTTACTACCAGAACTTAGTAAACTAAATTCAGTAGATTAAAAACACTAGTTATACTGACCATTTCGTATCATGTAACCGAATATATATATATATATATATACGGGAATTTGAATCAAGTTAAAAGCGAAGTTGAATCGCTGTAAAATTCGAAATGGCTACTGAATGAGCTACAAATCGTAGTTTGCAAATCAAAGTTCAGTTACACTTTACCAATGAGATATAAATGAAAGATATATTACGATGGATATTTGATCAAACTAGTTATATAGCCAGTTCATTGCTTTCCGATATGCCACAAGTGTAAATCACAGGCTGATCATTATTTGGACTATCGGTTCACAGTTGAAGTTACGAGTCGATCTAAGCTAGACCACCATTGGAAACTTGGAAGCTATGGGACTCCTCAGCAGTGAGTATCTACGACCCCGCAAGTGGGAGATTGTTCGATTGACAGATTAGGGTTCATACTTAAAAATAGCAATTAAATTTGAAAAATAATCTGACTTATGACAAAAATTTGATCCATGACCTCATACATATTTTTTTATATTTAAACTCAAATCTCAGCCTTGTAAAAATGCAAACTCATGAGAAAACTTGAACTTTATCTATTCCACTGATCAAATACTTAGATGAGTGGATTTTCAAATTGTTATTTACTGAAAAATTGTAAACTCTGAGTGAGTATTTTTCCTTCGATTCTTTGTTGCTAGAAAACTATGAAAATTGCTGATCGACATTTTTATGTTTAGTTGAAGGCGATAGAACTAATTACCTAAGTTATTTGAATTTAGATATTTATGAGATAATGATAAACGATAAAACTATGATTATGTGACCTTTGTATACCACCTAATTATTTCTAGAGCAAGTATTATATTAGAAAATCAGGAGCTTTATTAATATTAACACCGACAAATGTATATACATTTTCCACAGACATTTTGAGTAACAGGATGAGAGATTAAATTTTAACAAAACAACGTACCCGTTCTTTCCTGAATACCAGCCTAGTGCAGGTTTAAATGTTATTGGATCACGTGGTGTTAATGGTCGATTTTGTTTATCTCTGTAGAATGCAAACAAACTTGTAGAGAATCCCTACAAAAAAGTATAAAGGTTGAAGTCGGATAAGGTTAAAAATCAAGTAAATGAGGACAGTAATCGAAATAAACATATGAACTGTTACAAGGTTTAATAAAAACCAATCAAGACAGCCAGACCAGCGTCGATCATAAGTAAAGAAATCTGAAAAGCGTACTTCCATTTGAAGTTTATGCTGATTGTGGATTCCAGAAGAACGATGAAGGCTTCATGAATAAACTACTCTACTAAAAAAGTTACTAAGTATCGTCATCCCTAAAGCACTTACGTTATTGTTAAGAAGGAAGTACAGGCACCATTCATATTGTTCAACATAAAAGTGATGACAAACAGTCAGTCATACTACTGAGACTCATATCAATGAATGTCCCAACTTTTAATATAAATTGATTAGAACTTCGGATGGTAATGTAACTAGTTAGTGTTCACAATTTAACACGAGAATCTAAGTAACACATAACTCCTAAATGAAGATAAATATGCTTCAGTGATAGTGACTAACTTAAGTGACGGAAAGATGTTCTGAAGATTTTTTTATTTGTTTTTTCTGAATATCAGAGGCCAAGTGGTTTAAAATTGCACTAATACATTTAGAATCGGAAAAAAACTGTTTATAAGTTTAACATCTATCAAGCTTCATGAAATAGCTTAAATCCATTTACGTATTAATGAATGATCGCTTACTAGTGAATGTAATATTTCATGCGTAGCAACAAACAGTGAACGCATTTTATCGTTATATTCATTACTTAATGTATCAGGACAGAAATTGATGTAGCCAGCCATAGGGCTAAAAGAAGGAACAAAATAACGAAAATTTGACAAGACAGGAAAAAAATATAGCCTTTCTACAGACTAATTTAGAGTTTATCAACAAAACATTTAATGGTTAGTAGATATTATTTACTCGGCTTTTAGACATTCCAGTCTAAAATTAAACTGGTCACAATTGGACAAGTAGATAAAATAAAACCTTTTATGCTATGAATTTCGCATTAAATGAAGCATAAAAGCGAGTAGAAATAAAATATTTGAATATGAGCTGACTGTCTTAGTAATTTGGCCAGTAAATAATTTATTAGTGGAACGGTGACTTTGTAGTTATAGCATTTATTTATTAGCAAATAGATCTCAGATTCTCTTCTAATGGTTTCTGTGGACTGTTGGTATCACACAAACAGAGTAAATTGAACTGAAGTAGATGAACTTGCACACAGCTAATGAGATAATATCAATTATTTAAAACATTTACACACTAACTAACAGTCAGACCATGACCAAAATGAGGGTACTGACCTCGGTAGTAAACCAATTCTACCTATTAACAAGTGAATTGTAGCTTAAAAAGCTGTGAAAAGATACAATATTACCCTATGTTTTGACTTCAATTTGTAGAATTAAAAAGAAACAAGTCTGTAAATCACATTTGTCCAGTAAATAATCTACATGCACTCTTTTAAACACAGTAAGTAGATATTAAAATTTTATAGAAGGAATTGGATGCTGTAAAAAGTGACATAAGATGCTTGGTTAAAATATTAAGAATTCCGATTAAAACAAGATTATATTTTTTATAAAAAAGTTAATCTACCGATCAGTATTAGCTTCTAGCTGACAGTGTGCAGCATAACCTAGGACTTTTGCAGTATTACATCTATGTGTTCTAAGCGATGAAATATAGAGTATGAAGTTGGCACGGTATATACCTTCGCCCTTGCGACCTGAAATCATTGAGGTTCCATTATAAATAAACCTGCACTGCTGATAAAAACAAGTGAAAATTTTCAATAAATAAAAAAAGGCTTTTTACATTTAAATGTGACACTGGAATGTTTATAGGTCCACATTTTGTCCATTCCACACAACCATTGACACAAAATGTCAAGAGTTGATTATCAAAAGTCATCAACTTTGTAGCACCATCAACACAAACTCTGGAAACACTGAACGATTAAATCGCTTACACTTACCTGTCAAGTGTTAATCTTCTGGGCACGGTATGAGACTGACGTAACAGTAGAGCATCTTCCCAAAACTCAATTGCTACTTCAATTACATCTCTCTAAGAAGAGATATATCAGTTAGGCAAAACCTACCTTAATATCCTGGAAATTTTTGAGAGATTTAATTGACCTATCATAATGGGTATGAATTCTTAATTCTGTTTGTGAATTACGACGAATAAGTTTTTGCACATCCGAAGACACCACATGAGTTACAACTTCAGAGTGATTTATCACACCATGGTGACACAATGTAGAAAAGCGATCATATCTCAATCCACTGATAATGAAATGAACCCCAAAAATCGGAAATAGAATAATATCTTTTATTTTCCACATAACACTTCATCCAAAGGTTATGAATAAGTCCGCCAGAATTGGACTGAACTACCTATCTCAAATTACGGGATAAAGAGGTTATGAAAATAGAACCAATAGTTAATTTAGCATTGAGAGCATTCAGGGGTTAGAAAAAATAACATTATTTACTGAGACTGAAATTTATTGGACAAAAATCCGAAGGACCATTGTGGTTTGGATGGTTTAGGGACTAGATATAACAAGACCAAACTAGAATTTGTCATTTCATTAATAAACTGTGCAGTAGGAATGTTAGTGAGAGGAGTGGCAATGACTCAAGTAGAAAGCTCCAGGTAGACAGATTTTCGATCATTCGCATAAGATACCATCAGACAAAGAGGTCATAAATATACACTCAGTTCAAATAGAAACTACCAACTGCCTATGCATAAACCTCCAAAGTTTGTCCACTAGAATGAGTGGGTTGCGGGGGTTACATAAATCAAATAATGTTGGTCTCACAAGCACAACAGAAATGTGGATAACTTGAACAATTGACTAAGAACGAACCATAGTTGGCATGTCCTTTTTATGAGACTACAGAAACGTGGGGTCCTGCTCTATACTTACTGCCTAGAGGTATTTCATCTAAACGCTCAAGGGTTTGATTGCTTCAACGGATCTGAAAGATTACTTAACACTAAAAGGTGTTTGATTGTAATTATTTATTGAAAACCTATCGCCGACGCCAAATGAGACAACCATATTTTGGAAGGACCAAGTTATTACTTTATATTAGTACACGAGCACATCTGAAGCTTAAGAGAATTCAGTCATTTAAAGTCAGCTTCACTAAATATGTACATTGAAGGAATAACCAGGGACCGTCGCTCTTAGTCTGGATCTTTACTAATGAAACATTTCCATTTAGTAAAGTGATTCTAGAGTTTTTAAGTAAGGTGATATACACTCCAATCTTATTCATAAGGACGAACTAAAATGACCTGTGAACAATAGATGATAAGATTTAAAACAATTGAATATTATAGCATTAAAGGGCAATCTTAAACTGATAGAGTGAGAAGCTAATACTCTGTCTGACGCACTAGGAAATCTTGGACAACATTATCTAATGTACTACCAATCGGTCTGTCCCGCAAACAGCTTCGAAAACTTTGAGACAATTCGAAGTTATATGACGGAGCATTTTTAAACAGGTACTCAGTTACCAGTGGTTCACTAGTTTTCATATTTAAGTAATTAGATACTTAACACCATGATAAATTATTGATTTTTTCATAACTCAGGTATCTTACAAAATGTTGCTTTTTACTGGTGGCGCAACATTTCAGAGGAAAATCCACAACAAAAAGGGAAGGTTAGCAGTTTAGGGGAATCTGACACGCAGCCAAGGTTAGGAACACAACAGAATAATAATATGTAACTTCGAAGAATGTGAAGTAACCTATCTGAATCACACTACAAGCTACATGTAATACTTAAATAATTCTTAGCAAGAAGTGTCCTTGGTATCAAAATACTTAGGTGTATTCGTACCTTAAAATCTAACACAATATTCCAGTTGTGACAAAAATGACTTTTGAGTCAAAATTGCACTAGAATTTTTGAGGCATGCTCTCAAGTAGTTTTATTACGAAAATATCTTGTTCGGCTTTGCATGGAATCTAAAAACAACGTTTTGTCCGTCACTCCGAAAGGATAAGAATATATTGGAGGATATCTTAACTCCCCAAGCAACACAAAAAGGGGAAATAAAGCGGACGAAAGCGTAAATAAAGGGGAAATGTCGCTTTTCCCCTTACGTCGTGTATTTGGGGAAAATTTGTCGACGATTCTACGTAACGCACAGTGTTTGAATGAACCGCATCCGGAACTGCAGTTTTCATAAACTTCGACAAATTAAGGGCCGATCGGTCCACAAGATTGGTTCGTGGTCCAGAAAATCGTCTTGGCAATGGGTACACCCAGTCTTCAGTCTTCAGTAATAAGGACAGTAGGTTGATGAATCTGTGTTAATCCTGACACTGCTTTTCAGTGAAGGTCCAGCTTCTCCTTGAAAGTATTCACCCATTGCCATCCTCTGAAATATTTACTGTGGTTTAGTCTAAATGCAAGACAAATGGGGAACATTGAAAAGTTAGAAGCACAAAAAGTGTACTATTAACTTTCATTGGTAGTCAAGTTTTGTGATTCCCTACTATGCAGTAGGAAATCCATCAAGTACATAATGAGTAGTTCTAAAATGTCAGGAAAAATAATATATCACATATTTTAAATAAAATATTTACGACTATATGTGTAAGATTACTTGACAAAGAACACAAAACTAAGCCTCATTAAAATATGCGTAAACATATAACTATACCTGTAGTGCCGAAAAGATTGAAATTTCGCCACAATTCGGAAATATATAACTCAAATGGTCACCTAAAATGTCATTTTAATTGGTTGATTTTTGATGTTAAGGTTCATAAAACTAATTATTGTAGAAGTTTGTTAGAAAATGTTTTAAATATACCCGTTAAATCAAATCTTCCAGCACGTGAGAAAGGTGGATCGTTGAATGTCCAGAATGTTCTTATATCTGTATGAGAAAACATGGTATTCGAAAAGACTGGGAAAGTTACCATATCCGTAGTTGGGTATCCAGGCTCAGGAACGGATGTTCGTCAACATGTTGGGAAATCTTGTCTCATAAACCGTTTTATGGCCCCATACAGGTTCAATGAAAACCACTTGTCAATTTTAAGTCTGTCAGATTATGATAGTGAAGTGATCTGTTCAAGCCACTGGCTATATTGGGGAGACAGTAGTGTGAATGTTAACGGCTGTAAACTACATATCCAAATAATTGAGCAGTGTGACTTTGTGGATGACCATCTTTTCCAACCTCTTTTCGAACCGAGACCATATGCAGAACGATGTTTGGACTTTAAAATCACCTTGCATTCAAGAAAGTTGTGTTACGTTTGTAAGGAGCAGCTTGGGCATGAGTCGGCTTTTCCTCAGGTTTATCTTGAACCCACCACTTTATTTGTAGATGTCTTTGTATGTGTATATGACATGTCATTATGTGGTCCTTCAGCTCTGCAACAGGCTGCCTTTTTAGGTCATGTCATCACTCGTCTTTCGTCTCTTAAGTTTCCAGTGGTTGTCGCAACATCTAAACATGATATGAATGTTTCTCGTCAGGCCTCAACTCTCTTTAAAGATACACTCAGTGGATGTAAAAAACATTGGATGAAAAATCTGTGTATCGTAGAAACATCTTCACGTCTAAATGTAAATGTCAAAACTGTTTTTCAATGTGCTGCAGTTTTTGGACATCACAAACGTGCTAATAAGTACAAACTCCATACTGGCCTTTTACGTTGTTCACTCAGAAAATCATCCAACGAACGCAAGCCGTTCCCTATGTGTTTCGGAAAGTCAGTGTGGTAAGTCTCGTCAATAATTGGTTAAACTTTGTTTAATAGGTGATATGGTAATTTATATGTTAAGTCCTCCCATATTTCATTTGCAATAATTAACCGATTATTAGAGACTGTCAAGACAAATAGTAGTTCAAGGAAAGTGTACCTACTTACCCAATAGTCAAAATATTGTCTACAAAACCATAAAGCTTATTATTATTTCATGTGAATTGATCTTTAGTGATGTCTGTTTATTACTCTAAAATATAGTATGGCTATAGTGTTTGCTACTATCACTTTACGATTTAATTGTATGGACAGTCAAAATTATTAAGCACATCAGCCCTTAGCATCAGTGATATTCTTCGAAGTGTTTGTTGAGATACTGTTAGTTGTCCATGTTAGTATGGTTTTTTGTTATCTTCAAGTTGTTTTAAATCTACACAATTGATTGGCACACAAATAAAACAATGGTATTTTCCAAAGGCTACGTAAAAATTTCATGATTTCGTGCTTTGATCTATTTAGGGGCTACTATCGTCTATCATATGTTACGTTTTTATGCATTCTAGCTAATGGAATGTTAATTTCTTAACGCTTTAACCTAAGTATGCGATGAAGCATAATGATTACTATATAGGCGGATAAAATGTGATATTCCTTTTCGTAGGTGTTCAGAACTTTTAGAAATATATTCCGTACTCACTAATAGTGAAAAAAGTTTTTCTACAGGCTCTATAAAGTTCATCCCTTAGAACTTGGCTTTTGAGAAAGGTGGAAATAATTGGTGTGATTGTTTCCATCAGGTTAGTAGATACGTGAGATCCATCTAAGGGAATTGGAAAACCCTGATCGCAAACCAATGGTGCAAATAGGCTCCAGGATCCTGAGGAAACAAATGGCCTATGAACCTATTGTTGTCCACCGGCTACCATGAGACTATCTAATGTCACTCCACTGCCTTATGGATTAGACCTTTAGGTCAAAGGCACGGGTATTGGCCCCTTAAGAAAAACACCTTCGGTTAGGGCGCTCAGACAGTATTCCAGTCCTTACATAAATCGAATTTGTGTCGAATAGATATTTGGTGCCTGCTTGTACCAATATTTATGTGTTTTAATCGATAAACGTTAGTATACCAATAGCCTTCCAAGCTGTCATCATTTCTTCAACAATATATTTATCACCATCCTTGGAACAAAACTAAATTGTCTCGTTTTGAGCAAGTTAATGGTACTGTTTATATAAAACCACCCGGGCTCATTGAAGACTGTAAGTATGGCTTTCTCGGAAAAGGCTATCAACCATCTACCATACGAAATGCTTTTAAGTTAGAAATAATACATACTATAGCCCACATAGTGGGTGCAAAAATAATTTTAGTTTAAACATGTCATCAGTTGTTTTAAAATATTGATGTCCATTATGTTGCCCAGTGTACGCAAAATATGTTAACAACTGAATCCCGTTATAAACGTTACATATCAACTGTTTTTACACTGGTTAATATAAAGACCTACTTGGTTTATTTTCATATTTACTGAATAAGATTTCAAACAAAATATTATGCTTTATTTCATTATAATATGTGATAATATTTTCGAAGCTTTATTTGGTCATTGATATTATTTCAATATGTCATTAAGTGAATAACCAAGCTTGAGATTATAGTACTCAATATTTCCACTGTAGTCCCAAATATATCTTATTGCTAATTTAAACTTTTCGTACCTTTAGGATGTCTTAAATTCTTTATTCTCATAAAATCTCACCGCGGTTTCCACATAAGTACCTCTATTTACTTTCATATTTCTTCTAGGTCTAGTATACGTTGGGTTCAATATGGTACCAGTTCATGTGATACAAACGTCCATTCGATTAGCAGCGAATCTCCAAATGTTCGACATGTATCTTATTTTCCTCCACTTGTACAGTCTCTCACATTTCCTAAACAGCATAATAAACTAAGAATTCCTGAACGAATCATTTTACCACAGGTTTGTTAAATTAATTTTTACCAATAGTTTCGTGGAAATTGTTATGCCATGTTTTCTTGTTGCTCTTATCATTCTTAATAATTTCATATATTAGTTGATTATCATTATTTTCTTCAACAAATATTCTATTAATATCATGTTTCAAGTGTTCATCTTGTATTTTCGACTACGTTCTAACCAATACTCACATTTTTCTCAGTTTTGCACTATATTTGTGTAGTAAGTCTTTTTATTCATCTTGTGTATTATTCTAGCCTATCATTCATCTAACTACTCAGTGGTTAATTTTCTACTAAAGGCTTAGTTATTGGTTTGGAATACACAGACAGTCTAGTCCGACTAAGTGAAGATACTGATGTTATGTAGTCTTCTGATCTCCTTGACCGACAATACAAGCATGCTTAGAATGTGTTTCCCTCCTTTTAGGTGCATATTTTTGCTTAAACTGTCCATTTTATATTACTACAAGACTTTAAAACGTGGGCGTGTGGGCAAACTCCAGGTTTTGATCATTTATTTCGTCGAAGCATTGCTCTTGTATAGTGAAACGACCAAGTATGCAGTATTGTGGTTTCACCCAGAGTACTAGGCGATGGTAAACCGGTCGATACGATATTGAATCTTCAACTGGGATAGTTTGGACCTGTGTTACCTATGCCTAACCATTGGCTACCTCGACGGTGGATGTTAGCTGATGTTGGAAGAAAGCTAGGGGCAACAAATTTAAGACGTGACACCGGTCCATAAACTTGTTGACCGTTAATGTAAACCATATTGGTAAAGTCAGACAATCTGGTTGGTGTCTGCATGCTGGATTCGTCAGGCGATATGACTCAGTCATGATCGTGCAGGTATATTCGCTCTTTGGTTTGTGCTACATATGAGGTTCTTATATTATTTTATGCATACTTACCTGTCCTATCTTTTCAAACTTTGTTCCTGATGTTTGATTTTCATCGTTATCATTAATACTATTCTATGTCGACTCTTACTATTTATCTCCTGACCGTTGTTGCTACCTTGACGTGGTGGTCGGGCTTGCCTATCGTGATGAAGCAACCGAGCTATACTGGCTGGAACAACCGTTCCTCAAGGTCCTACCATGTCAGACAGGTCGGTTGAAGAGCGGTAAGACTTAAAGCAACAAATCCAAGGTCCGAAGGCGAAGTCGTACTGCTGACTGTATAGCGGTGTGACGGCAGTAAGGCGTTCCCTTCAGACAACCAGCATAACAGCGATACTTCCTTCCTACAAGGAGGGGTGTGTTTAGAAAAGTTTGACCGTAAGAATCCACACAGCGCCTTATCCCATGGATATCCGTCTCCGGCGGTAAGGTCTCAACAAGTACGGAGCTAACACAAAAATTACTCACAAAAAGGTCTCGTGTGACCGACCTCAAGCAGTTATCTCTTGGGTAGTGTGGTCAAGCTCTCAAGTCACTAAGACCACCTTTAATCGAATTTCGTTTTCAGGTACCTCCAGAAGAACCCTTCCACGGTGTGGTCAGCCGGGAAGTGACAACCGCCGTCATACCTCTAATAGCACTCAAGATCACTGTATTCATAGTCAACTTCCCTCTTCAATATCATTATCCCTCATACATCGACTTAATTCTAAACTTCCTCTCTTGGCTTCCCCAAGTGTCACCATAGCCAACGATTCTAGTGCGTAAAATACTGTCCCAGGTCTACTTAAACCTCGCTCCAAACTACACGTTGGAGCCTTCAACGTACGCATTCTATGTCAAGTCAGCCAACAGGCCTCCTTGGCTAAAACCCTAGAATCTCGTACCATTGATGTATGCTGTGTCTCTGAAACACGCATACAGGATCCCAGTGTGGTAATTTACTTGACCTCACCTCGGCAAAACGGAGAGCCGAAGAGATACACCCTCGGTGTATCTGGTGACCCGACGGCCATTTTTTGTGGACTGGCAGGAGTAGGCATAGCAAT